TGTTGCTTGAATAGCAATAGCATGAAATAGAGTATTAATATACTTTTCTTCTTTTGTAAGTGCTATATAAATTCGCCTGGTATGGCTGCAGTCCTCCGGTTGTATACTGGACTTTTCAAAAACTGTTTGGGGTAGCTGCCACTTGAACAAAATCTGTCGCCATCCACGTGGCATTAGTATTTTAAGAAATGTAGTTGTTTTCAAAAATGTAGTTGATGTATCCAGCAAGCCAGAATCAGCCCAGATAAAAAGTGGAATTTCTTCATTCTCCAGATTTTTAATATGTAGGCACCTGATTTGCATATTCATTCATCCATGGACCACTGTTTCTTGCTTGTACCTCTGGCTGACTAAATTTGGGGACAGATTCAGTCTTGCCTTACACAAAGGGGATCATAAAGTTAGAATCTATTTTCTATGTACTAGTACTGTGTACTGTATAGACAGTTTGTAAATGTTATTTCTGCAAACACCTTCTTATGATAATTATATATAATATACATATATATATATATCAGTTTGATCACACTATTTTAGAGTCTTAATGCCAAGTCAGCAGATTTGCTTTATGAATTACAGGGACTAGAAATGCCCACATTCAGGAAATTTGTAATATCATCATCTAGACACCTATCCCCATTCTAGTAGAAAGTCTGTACATACTGTAAATACGTGTGATTGCTTGACTTGAAAAGGTTTGATTTCTGAATGTTTTACCATCCTTGTAAGTTTATAATTTTGACCATAAATTATGGTAAATATAACCAAACTCCAAAGGTTGTTCTAATCCATGCAGTTCACACTGATTGTAACAAACACATTCTTAGCAGCTAGTGTCTTATGTCACTGCACTGGAATCTACGAGCCGGAACCCCGTGTGCGTGTGCGTCTGTGTGTAAGCGTGTGCGCGAGTGACTGGCTGAGATGAATCTGAATGCTGAAGACTAATGAAACTAGAGACTGATATTGAGAATTCTACCCACCTGGCTCTGTAATGAATGAACCGTGCTACATGTTGCTTTAATGATCCATTGAGCAGTCAGGGACTGAGGAAGCTTGCTGCCAAAGGTGACTAGGAGAGCATTCATCTGCTGGCTCCTTGTTTTTGCTCCTAGAGAGTAAAAATACAGGCAACTTTTAACTGTGAGTGTTTCACTGGAAATGTACAATCTCTGTGTGTTCGAGTATTTGTTTTAGTAAGAAACGTTTACACAGCTTGTAGAATTATTTCGTGGGAAAATAAATTTTTCTAACTTCTCCCACTTCCTTTTCTAACCTTGCCTATCGTTCCTGTTGTTTATCTCCCAGTTTACCTGTCAGTCATTCCATCCCCCACCACCAACAACTCCAACAATGTCACTGTCCGTGAGAACCCAGAAGTGCTTCTTATAACCAAAGTTTTTGCTCTTCAGAAGTAATCAGGGCAAAATGGGGTGACTTGAAGTGAACAAAATGTTAAGAATATTCTCCTACATCGAACATCTACTCTGAAGGAGAACTGGGAAGATAATATCTCCATGCCTCGATACTGCCGGGAAAGGTCACAATGAGGTTATCACGCTAGGGCTTAACCCTTCTCCATGTCTCTTAGGTGTACCTTTTGTCCAGTTACGACTGGACAAGACAGTATTAGGTGTGCAAGTACCTAGCACTTGAAGTTTGTCCCTGGAAAATGCCTCTGTATAAATGCCTAACTTCAGATCTGTACATCATTATATAATTATTTTGTTACATAAGTTAATCTATTTTTGTGTTTTGCTTCGTTGATTATTCCAGGGTCTTGCCAAATGTTCTTGGACCTTTATAAGTAAAACTGTTTCGTATTTAACTCCTTTCCCCTCCCCCTCAAGAAAACTGTTTTAAAAATGAGTTAACATATATAGTGTTTTATCAGCTGATATAAGAAACATTTCCCTCAGAATCCATCTATTTGTTAATAGCCCCGTACTGTTGACATGTTTATTTATTGAATATAAAAACAGTAGTCATATATATACATTTTTTATGTAAAATATTCACATCATTGGGAAAACATATTCCAATTAAATTTACTTTTATAGAATATTTCCCATGAACTTTACATCAGTAAGATGTTGCTGATCACCAGCCCCATCCTTTCCTACATGAAATTTTGTCCCAATTAATGTCTTTGGAATATTTAAATTTGTGAAGTTTAACTGGTATTTATCTTACTTGCTGCTACCAATAATCCCTTTCAAAGAGTTCTGCGGATTCCATCTTTAAAATTTTGTACCTGGATTCTTAGTTTCTCACTTTACTGTGAAACATGTTAGTCCAAATCAGAGCATTCCTTAAAAAATTATATTACAGGATGTGACATAGCATCTATAAGTGAAAACTGTGTCGCAGACATATGTGTACACTGTGTACTAAATTTGTAACTGAAGAAATAATCCCTAGGACAATGGGCTATTTACTGACTTGTGGAATGTAAAATTATACTCTCTCATGCAGCAAAGGCTTGATCTTAACCTACCCAGTTGAAGAATCATGATTTTTTGTAGTCAGCCTAGAAAATGCTGGAAATGTTCTTAGTAGATCTACTATGTTTTTTTATCAAACCCCTTTCAGTTTTTCCTATGCTTTCTCTGCTGCTCCCCCTTTGAGTTACTGTTATAAAAAGGTGCTGCTAAATGTAGGATGTCTTAGTCATATTGTACTTGGGGACAATGCCACATTTTTAACGTAGTCTGCTATGCATTCCTGTTAAACAAACATTCACTGTCAGCTACACTGAACTGTTCAACGAACCTGGTTTAAAGTCATTCACATAAAACAAATAAAGAGCTGGCTTCTGCACTGTTTATTATTAGTAGTATTAATTGCCATTTTAGGAGTGATTCTTACAGTTGAGAATATGTTGAATGTTCAACACCACTTCGCACTTGTGGAGCATCTTTCTTAGGGGCAATACCATGCACGGATGTTGCTTAGTGTCTGATAAAATGACGGCTTGTGTTTGGTACAGGGTCTTTTCGGATATGAGCATAATCTTCCTCCCACCTAATTCTACATGTGCAGCAATTCTTGATTCAGATTTTGAATTTTCTTCATTTTTAAAATGAAGATCCATCTTGATGACAAATTTAATTCCTCACCCTGTCCCTTTGCTCAGTGATGTAGTGCTGCTAGTCTCAGGTACTCTAATCTTATTAATACATCAAGAGTCACACTGTTTGAGAAAACAGGTAACTAGATGGTTCTGGGTCAATTTAATTTTGGCTCAATTATATTTTTAACTATTTCTACTTCACTTGACTATTTAAACTAAAATGTGATACAGGGTTTTGAAGTAAAATGTACTCACTGTTGAATCAATGCTTTTTCAGTTTCACAGAAATATCTATGTTAACACTAAATATGTTAAAAGATAATTTTCCTCCATAGTATGATTTTTTTCCCTTTTTAGTGTATTTTTTCTTAAATTTCTGTCTCTTAAGATCAAATGTGTTTTATTTTTCAATTTGCTATTTTTTAAAGGAAAGAAACCCACTGAAAATGTCTATGTTAAAGGAAAAGTTTTTAACAATATTCTTTATTTGTCCTTACTGTTTTCGATATGCAAATATTTTTCTTCTGTTTTGCCTGCATTGCTTGTATGCTGAATTGTGGTATTAATCAAAAATTTACATTTGCTGCTAGGCTCATTCTCTACCATTTTCATTCTAGTTTAGCACATAAGGCTTTGCAGAAAGCATGAGAAGAAATGGATTTTTTGAAACATTTAAAGTTTGGGAAAGTGTGCTGAGCCCTAGAAACAAGAAGTGCCACAGGTAAACAGTGTTTCTCTTTAGTCAAATGACATCTACTGGCTATAAGGCAGAATGAGGACTATAAACAAGTCAGTCACATATCTGAAGCTTACGGATCCTGAACTATTATTTCCCTCATTCAGTAAGCATGTATTGAGATCTCCTCTGAAGCAGTGACACAAAAGACAAGGTCCCTGCCTAGTACACTAGGATAAGTGCCTCAATAGCAGTAGATCCGGGCACTAGGCGTCCACAGAGAGAAATGCCTGACCAACCTCAGGGAAGGGCGTTCAAGAAAGGCTTCTTCAGAGAAGAGGCCTTCTAAAGATCTGACCTGATCCAAGAGCCCTTGCAATCTTGATGAATACAACAAATAAATAGCTATGAGAAATTCCAAACGGAAACCTATGAGGAAGAAAAAAACACTATTAGGCAATCATTTCCAGTTATCCAATTTATATGCCCAAGGCTCAGGAATTTTTAGGTGATTTGAACAAAAGTTAACAAAATAGCGATATTTAACACTACGTGAGATAGACAGCCTTTAAACTGTGGCTGGGTTTTGGGTATTTAATACACCTTATCTAGAAAGCAGGTAGGATGAAGCAAGCCTAAGGTGGAATTTATGTTTTAAAAAAGCAGCCGCTTACATTGGCCGCTATAGGAGGGAGGTTTGATCACCTTTGTGGTTTGGGTGATGTTCTTATTTTCGTGTGATTTCAGCTTTGATTATGAAGCGGTCTTCTTCTGTCTTGATCTATCATAGTCACAGTTGTTGCTCTGTCTGAGGCTGGTGGTCTGTGAAGTTATGTTCAATAGGAGAACGCCAAGGCCCAGCTGTAAGTGCCCGGCCAGTTCCCAGCTGTCAGAAGCTGGTTTTCTCTTTCTCACCAATCACATCTCTAACGACTTGTATAATATGTGTTCCAATGGATGATACCCAAATTGTGGATTATGCTCATATTTTTAATCTACAGTGTGAAGATAATATTCATTTTAGTTTTTAGTGTAAAATCATGAAAAACAACGTCAACACAGTGAAGGAGACTATCATTAAGAAGAGGTGCAGACTTATTTGAATGAGGGTTGATTGATTGACCAAACAGAAAAAGTCAGGTAAAATAGTCGGCTCAGTTATGGCACGTGGTAAACGTTATACTTCCCGTTCCCTGAATTCTTAAGGAACTACTACTTAGGAACTCAGGAGCTGAAAACATTTTTTATAACCAAATTAAACATTGCTAATTTTGTTCCTTTTGTTAGATTTGCCGATTTTAACATTAAAAATGACTTGTATTCTTTACAAATTAAAACACAAGACCCCCAAATGAAAATAAAATGTTCCAAACATCTATAGGCATCTCCTTTTCTTTATACTCTGATAAATCCACAAAAAAATTAAAAACACGAAATATAATTTCATACCACCACCCTATTTCCTCTATGAAGTGCAGTCCTCTTGGTCAAGTCTCGTGATCCCTGGGGAAACAGCTGGCAGCCTTTCTGTTTCCTTAGCAATCATGCCATCAATCACTTGGCCTGACAACAGTTTGGTTTCCAAAAAAAAGGACCACACAGCAAAAGTTTGGAATTTTCATTTCTAAGGATCCTTCTCCTGCGTGCTTTTACATTTTACAAATTTTGCAATAAAAAAACCTATACAATCCTTATTTGCCAGCCAAATCATGTCTTCTATTCTGGCATCTCTGAGAGATTCCGTGTCAGTGTCCTGTAGCGGCACAACAGATGGATCAAATCGCTGCAGCTGTTTCAACTGTTCAAATGATAGGCCAGCGCCCATCATTCCTTCTCCTCCAATCTGTGGCTCCTATTTGGAGAAAATAAATAAATATGGATAAACATCCTATAATTAGTAAAGCATGCCTATGTACAATTTAAGTTAAAAGACAAACTGAGTTGTAACTACCACAAGTTCCAAAAATAGAAACATGAGTAAATACCTTTTATTTTTGTGGAATGTCCCCAAACATACTGTATATGTTCGTATGCATACAAATGTACAAACAAACAGGGGAAATGCTGTTTTCCTGGCTAGTAAAGTGGGAAAGCAGTAATACATGGTCATCTGATGAATGAGTACCTATTATGGCCCATATGCTCATCAAGTACCGTGACACTGCAAAAGGCCTGAGCTTCACAGTTACAAACACACGGATTCAAATCGCAGCTCTGCCACATTTCAGCTGTGTGACCCTAAGCAAGTAACTTTACCTAACTGTCTCCTCATCGACAAAACAGATAAAATACTCAATTCTGAGGCTTAAATAAGTAAGGTGGTATCATGGCTGGCATATAGTGGGCACTCAATAAGTGAAACCTTATTATCCATAATAGCAATAGATAAAAATTCAGCTTTATTTATGAGAGTCCCCAAAACTGATCGAGTTCCTTAGGCATCCAAAGATGCCTCTCTCTGACCCATACCAACTGGATGATAAAAGTTGTCTTTGTTGGTTGTTTTTAAATGTACTAGAACAAATATTAGAGATAAATAAGGCTGCATCAATTAGTTTAGAGGAATACAGAATCATAAGGACTTGAGTAAATACTTGCAAACCACTCCTGCAAAAGATCCATAATCCTAACTTGTCATCATTTCACAGAAAAATATTTATGTTATTACTAAAGATAGATTTTCTTAGGTATATGTCTGAAAACCTATCATTTATTAACCCCTGGGGAACAACAATTCCATCTCTTTTATTGAGTGTATGTGTATACACACAAACATAACATTCAAGTGAACTCTGAAGTCTTCCTTTCATCTACAACGTAATTATCTTAACTTCTGAGTCTAGAAACCACCTTCAGATTGCTTTTTATTTGTGTATTCCAATTACCTACTAGAATTTTGTACAGGGAGATACTGAAGTTAGATGTTCAATGTATCTGAATGAAAGTGAGCTTTATTAGAGATTTAAGCTTCATCTCAAACATCATGGGCTAAAACTCTAGTCATAAATATGGTTTTAATAAAAACTAACAGAAAGACAGCACTAGGTAAGTACAAGAAAACTTTTTAAATGTTACAGATATTATATAAGAGATCCTAAAAAAGCAATAATCCTGAACCAGTTTTTGCCCTTGGCTAGTCTTTTGATATTCCAGTTATTAGAGCCTGTTTGGGCTTTGATATGCCATGAGAAAAAAGGCTCAACGTTTTCCATACCAGAAAAATACAGGACTGGGACGGGGGAAAAAAACTTTCTGGAAACAAGAACAAGAGTCACAAGTGAAAGAAATGTAACAAACGTACACCACAGCTCTGTGGCATTTTAACCCAATGGCAAGTAATGAATAAGGGAAAAGCTCTGTCAGAACGTGAAAATTCTCTGTGAAAAGTCAAAAATGGATCTAATTAGAGAAACATTCTTATGTATTACAGTATTTGTTTCAGAAATTTGACTTGATATATTTCTTGATCTAACACCCTGTGTTTATCACCACGCTTAAGTTTCTGTGATGTATCACACTGCAGAGAAAACTGCAAGTATTCTTACCTGTGGCTGAAGCTGAAGGTCAGGAAACGCTGTGAGGGCCCAGGCAACCTGTTCTTCATTTTCTGCCAGTGTGATGGTGCATGTACTATAAACCAGCACACCCCCCGGCTTCAGCAGCTTCACTGCCTAAAGAAACATGGGATCAGACTATGCCTATCACAAGACCAAATAAACATTTTAAGGGATTTTATATCTGTGATACTTTTCGAGTGTTTGGGATAAATAAAATGATGTTCTATATGATCAGAATTCTTTATCTAATTACAGTATTCCAGCCTGGATGCATTTCATTATGTTGGAGCTGTTACAGTTCATTTGAACCAAGACTTTTCTAAATATGAACATTCAGTTTCTTGGCTTTAGATACCAGTTTTTATGCTGAAAACTAAAAAATCTACATTTTTAGGCCAGACTCCTTTCTGAATTCCATACTCATATATTCAATTGCCTTTTCAGTATTTCTACCATCAAATTTGACACATCCCCAACTGAACTCCTATCTTCCCTCTGAAACCTCTTGAAGAAGTATTTCCATCCTCCCAGATGCTCGGCCCCAAACCTCAGATTCTCCTTTATGCCTCTCTCACGTTCCCCATCCATCCACAAATCCTACCTTCACACTATATTCAGTATTTGGTACTGCTCACCACTTCCACTGCTGGCATTCTGGTCCGAGCCTCTTTATCTTTTGCCTGGATTATTGCAACCATCTCCTACTTAGTCTGCCTGCTTCGCCCCGCCCTCCCACAATCTGTTCTCAATACGGCAGCCAGAGCAGTACTTTTAAGACTTGTCACTTCTCACTCAAGACCCTTCCAGTGCCCTCCATAATCACTTGGAGTCAAAGCCCAGGTCCTTCCAGGGGCTTTCAAGGCCCTACACAAAGCAGGCCCCTGGCTGCCTGCCTGACCTCACCTCGCACACCGTGCTCACTCTGCTTTAGCAACTCCGGCCTCTGCTCTTCTGGAACACGCATGGCACACTCCCACCTCCGGATCTTGGCCCCAGCTGGGAAAGCTCTTCTAGTTCTCTGCAGTGCTTGCTCCTTCACAGTTTTCTTATCTTTGCTTCTGTGTCACCTTTCCAGCGATGCCCTCCCTGACCACCTCATGTAAAACTGCTCCTCTTCTGATGCAGCACTCCTGTCCCCCCTTCCTTTCTTTAGTTTGCTCCACAAACTATATACTAAATAACCTGCTCATCTATTTGTTTACTTTCCTCCCCAGTTAGAACAGAAACCCCATGAAGAGTGGCAGGGGTTGTTTACTTTTTCACTACTGTGTTGTCAGCACCCAGAACAGTGCATTACATACAGTAGGTGCTCAATGAATATTTGTCCAGTAAATCAATGAATCAAGAAATAAGGTGTTATACAAAAATGAATTTGTCCCAAGTAACTAAAGTTTACCTTCTCAAACTCCCACACTTTAATATATAAATATATATAGTATACACTTGTGCTTTTTAAACAGAGTATGCTGATCAAAATTTAAACTTTGTTACTGTGAGCCAACTCTTGTTTTCAGCACTTTACATGGATTTTCTCAATAAATCCTTATAACAACCATGAGGTATGGGTACTGTTTCCAGTGAGGTAACCCTGTTAGTAGAGTTATTATCCTCCTTTCTCAGACATGGAAACCAGGGTACCTAAAGTCACATATGTGGAGACCCATGCATCAAATCAAGATGTGTCTGATTCTAAAGTCCACATTCTCCACGAATTTCTCTCTCTGCCAAATGGCTTGCCTGCTTATATTCTCAATTCTCTCTCACACACTGTCAGCTGTTCCTTTGCATTGAGATCAATGCATCTACTCCTAAGAAGCTTTCCTGAATTTTGTTTTTGCTATGTCCCAAAAAGAACAAAAAGCCAAGTGTCTTGAAACAGTGTCCTAATTTTACCCTCAAGTCAAAGTGGGTTTCGGCTATAAGTAAAGCTTCTTTTTTGCTGCTTGCTGTTTTAACCTCCAGGATGTGTTCTTTGAAGACCGAGTAGAAGAAGAAAAAGTTCATCTACCACCAGTGCCATCTTGGTGTACAAAAGGAGACGGGACGAATAGAAATGTACTCAGAAACAACTTTGCAGACTGCATAACTACAGTGTATCCATTATTGCTGTAGCCTATGTATTTGTAACTAGAAGCCTGAGAGGAAATAATGAAGTAATCTTTGATCAGATGCTGTCTATATTCTGTGAAATCCACTGAACCATTTTTGCAAGACTGAGAGAAATCCTCACATGTTCTATCTGGGCTTCTTCTGAAACGTACTAGAGACCAGTTAAATTTGCAACTAAAATTTTTATGGTTCTTTTATATCCTACCCTAGTCACTGTCACTTCCCATTTTTATTAATGTGTTTGCCTCTATTGGACTTCCCACTTTTAATTTGCAGTCTAAGATGATCCAGGAACCCTATTAAAAAACAGTAATTTAGTTTATAGCCAATTCTTTACATTAATTAGTAATTATATGTTAACAACCCACTGACGTTTTAAAGACAAAGCAGAATGTCTGAAATTCCTTAAATGTCTCAGTGAAGAAATTCTACTATTGCCTGTAATGAAAGAGTAAGTCAACATAAAGGAAAGCTCCTTATATGTAAAACTAGGACTTCTCTGTCTTTTTTGTGTGTGGTAAAATATACATAACATAAATTTACCATTTTAACCACATTTAAGTGTACGATTCAGTGGCATTAAGTACATTTACACTGTTGTGCAACCACCACCATTATCCATCTCCAGCGTTTTCTTCATCCCAAACTGAAACTCTGCACCCATTAAACAATAACTCTCCATTCTCCCATCCCTCCAGTCCCTGGTAACCTCTATTCTACTTTCTGTCTCTATGAATTTGCCTATTCTAGTTACCTCATATAAATGGAATCATATAATATTTGTCTTTTTGTGTCTGGCTTACATCACTTAGCATGATGTTTTCAAAGTTCATCCATCCTCTAACACATGTCAGAACTTCATTTGAAAGGCTGAATAATATTCCATTGTATGTATATACCACATTTTGCTCCTCTATTCATCTGTTGATGGACGCTTGGGTTGTTTCCACTTTTTGATTATTGTGAATGCTGCTGCTATGAACACTTTCAGTCTTTTAAACATCTAACTAGTGAAGGTCAACTTTCTCTCACAGCAAAGTATCATCACATACCACAGTAAAGAGTTTTCGCTGTAAAGGTTGATATGATGTCACTTCCTTCAAAGTCCAAGAACAAGCCATGTTTGGTCTCTGTCCCATTCCACTGCAGGGTGCATCAAGAAGAATTCGGTCAAAGGATTCTGGTAAGAATGGAGGTTCTCCTATAAAGAGAATTATGAACATATTTGCTATCTGCCCTATTGGTCTAGAATAGGAAACTCCTAAGACAGAAGCAATTATCAGGAATTTAAAATCATAACCTGGAAGACAAAGTAAATAAAAACGATTTCTCCCTTCAATCACGTAGCTGGTGAAACATTCTGATTTATATTTCATATAATCTGACTTTGTAAAAAGGTTAAAACGTGATTATTATAGTTGAGGGTTATTCTGTTGATATAGTGCAAACCAAGGCCTAATCAAACGAGACCTTGCACCCGCAATGTTAGAAGCTACAGTTCATCAGAGCTAGGACCTGGAATTAATTCTAGTCATTCTGAGAGCTGACACTTCTCTTGGTAATCCCTACTGCAGACAGCCCCAGAAAAAGAGGGCACCTGTTAGGTTCTAGTCAGGGATACTGGTTCTGTGATTCCTCAGTCTTTTTGCTTCCATGGCCATCAGCAAGGCTGTGCTCTAGGATGAGTCAATAATCCCCCTTGATCCAATCTTTGCATTCACTTGAATAATCTTCTCCACTCCAACTTCTGACCTATTTAGTGTTATGAAACCAAATGTCATGAAACCAAACAGTTTGCTTATATATTTATGCTATCTAACTGTAAGCAAGATATTGCTGCTGACTGCTTTGATACAAAGCTAGTTAATTTCTAGGATATAACTCAGGAAGAGACAGATGGAAGAGATGCATAGGGCAAGGCGCGGGGAAAGAGCACAGAGCTTCCATGTCCTCTCCAGGCATACCACTCTCCCCAAATCCCCACATGTTCACCAACCCAGAAGCTCTCTGAACCCCATCCTTTTGGGTTTTTATGGAGGCTTCATTACACAGGCATGATTGATTAAATCATTGGCCATTGGTGATTGATTCAACCTCCAGCCCCTCTCCCCTCTCCTGAGGCCAGGGAGGCGGGACTGAAAGTTCCAACCCTCTAATCACATGGTTGGTTCCTCTAGTGACCAGCCCCCATCCTGAGGTCCTGTCCAAAGGTAAACTGATTAACGTTAGCAAAAGACACCTTTACAGCTCTCATCATTTTGGAAATTCCAAGGGTTTTAAGAACTCTATGCCAGAAACCAGACAAAGACCAAATACATATTTCTTATAAATACCTGCATCACAATCCCACTTCCAGGTCTTGCCCTTATAAGTACTGGCAGTGTAGTCTCCTTGTCCCTCTTCCTTCCCCCTAGAAAAAACTAGTACAGCTGTCTTGGACCCAGAATGAAAATACCAGCATTGGATGCCCACTTCTGTTAGGTGAGACAAAAATAAACAACAAAAACAAAGAAATAAAAACCACTTCTATCTTTTCTAAGTCACTGTATTTTGGGTCTTTCTGGCACAGCCCGTTAGCCTATACAATAATATAAATCTCCTGCAAACCCCTGGCTAACTATTTAGGGTTGACAATCAATTGACCATGAAATGTGTTCTCATGTAATTAGGCAATTCAATCTGACCTACTGTAACAAGGTCACACCACTGTAAGAAGACAAATAAAAGTTCAGATATTGTTCCTCAGAACAATCCTTATTTTTCTAGGAAGTAGTCCATGTATTTCGTTTGTTTGTTTGCTTTTTTAATCCCAGATGGTTTACTACACATTAGGCAGATGTTACAAAATAATTTCTCACTTGCCATTAGTCTCAAAGATATGGTGATTTTCACATCACTACTGATGTACTATCCATCAAACCGATTAGGTCTACTGCCTAACATTCTAAGTTTAACACCCCAAATCAAACTACCAAAGAATGTCTGTGATGAAACAAGTCTTGATGAAAAAAGAGCTAAAGGTGATGGCCTCCGACCGTTAGTTAATGAAGTGATATGGAGGAGTGAAAAATCACTGATTGAATACCCAAGTTAGTTAATGGATTGTCTCCTTATAGCACTGAAGACTGACCTCTGAGATGGCTACGCCAGTACGTTGATTGTTCTTAACCTAATCACAATGCATTGTGCTTGTGAATATGATCTCTTTAATTCAAAGATACGTAAAAATTGGTGACCTACCAACAATTTTAGTAAAGTGACAATAATGGATTATATTGAGCTGTGTACCATCTACTAGTCATTCCTATGAAGAACAGCTTATATATGGGCAAACTAGAGGGATAAAGAGTCTTTTTCTGTATGGCAATCTAGATGATCTGTAAGGGGGTGGGGAATCAACACCATGCCCTCAGCTTTTTAAAGGTCATCTTTAATCAAATAGCATCTTTAATCAATAAACGTTCTGGGAAAACTAATGCTAATTAGTTCATTAAAATATGCAACTTTCTCCAGTATTCCATGAAATCAAATCTAAACAGAGACAGAGAGAGAGAAATAGAGATAGGATGACTTAAAAAATCCAACATTTTATTAGAAAACAAAATACACAGCAGTTTGTCCTCCTTTCCTAGCTCCAGAGCCCCATTCCTCAACAAAAATGAAGACAGAAAAAATAGCTCAGGAATCATAAAATTGAAAGATTCAGAAGCTTTCTGAGATGTAATAAGAAATTAAAATAAATATATTAAGAACAAAGAGTTTGACCACGTCTTGGAGGTTTCACCAATATTATTAAAAACTTGATATGCAGGGATGAGACGAAAAGCAAAAAGATACGTATTATGGCAAAATATCTTAGATCCATGCCAAAGTTTCAAGGCCCTATGAATATGTTGACAATGATAATAAAATCTATTTGCTTGTAAAAGCCAGTTACAGAAGCCTTTAAAAGATAAAATTTAGAGGAGAAGTCAAGATGGTGGTGTAAGCAGACTCTGAACTCACCTCCTCCCGCGGACACAGCCAATTTACAACTACTTGTGGAAAAATTACCCGAGACAGAACTGAAAACTGGATGAGAGGAACTCCTGCAACAAAGGACAATCCTAATTGAGGTGGAAGAGGCAGAAACTCCCTTCTGGAGAGAAAAAACAGCACCTTCACAAGTCGCCAGCTTCACAGCCACCCGGGGGGTAGCCCACAGGTACGCAGCCCTCCCGGAGGAGTGAGGCCCTGAGCCGGGGAGCACTCCGGCTGTGGACATTTTGTGGACCCAGCACAACCGAGACGAGTGGCAGAATATCTGACTTTGCCTGCTACTAAAACACTGGGGAGGACCCCCAGAAAAACTGGTTCAAAAGGAAATTAAAACCGGCTCTTAAAGGGCCCACGCGCAAACTCACCCGTTTGAGAAAGCAACATAAAATCACCAGAAAGAAAGGTGCA